TTTTTTTTTTTTTTTTTTTTTTTGGCTTGTTTTCTTGTCAGATCTCTGAACTGAGCATGCCCAGAAATTCAAGCCACGAGATTAAATCTGTATTATTCCAACATTTGGTTAAGGACTTCCTGTGCCAAAGGGAGAAATCCTCGTGCTCATTGTGCACGAGTGCTTCCGATTGGTGTCTCCTGGAAAGTCTCAGCCACTTTGGAACTCTTGTGTTCAGTTTCCTCATACTTTGCTGTGTGCAAAGACACCTCTTGCTGGTTAAAAATCCCCACTGGTTTTGGGATATTGCTTGGGAAAGGGGGAGTGGGAGCAGTTTGTGACTTCCAAGAGCAGGTGAGAGTCGCTTTTCATTACAGGGTGTCACTTTTTGTGAAACATTACCCAAAGTCCTGATTCCTCTGGCCTGTTTTGGTTCAAACTCACTGTTCCCTCTTGCAGAGCGAGGCTTCTTTGAGAACACAAGCTCAGGATGGCAATCAGGCAGCTGCATTTTAAACAGCACTTGGCTTTTGGCAGGATCTCTTCCCATTTTTTTTTTTCTGTCTTGCACGTTTTGCTCTGGAGAATGAGGTGAAGGGAGATTTTTTCCTTAGTGGCAATTCAAAGCTGGGCTGCGATGTTATGAGTCCCACTGCTCATCCAAATCACATCCAATTCCAAAGGATTTGCTGTTTTCTCCCTCTGGATTATCCTTTCACCCAGGACAGGCAGCACCCTTGACTTCCAACTTTCCAGGATGGAAGCAGATTCTCTCCAGTCTCCACCAGTGCTGCTTTTTTGGCCAGTTGCTGCAAGGATGTGCCATTCCTGCTGCTCCTGGAGAAGCCACTGCCAGGTTCCAGGCTCCCTGGGGGTGACAGAACCCTCAGCTCTGGGCTCAGTCCATGGGCAGGCACAGACACGGGGCTGCAGCTCCAGCCACTGTTAAACATTAGCGAGGCAGAGCCTTTGCCACAACGGAATTTCACTTCCTGATCAGCCTGTCCTCCCTTTTCCAGGAGCTCAGCTGGCTTGTTTGCCCAATATTTGGTTAGAAATCCATTGCTTGTCCCCCTTCTACAAGGAGAAGTTGGAGTGGATCCTCCAAGCTGAGATTCCCAGCTGTGCTCTGAGGAATCACCAGTGCAAAGCCTTTGCTCTCATTTTCTCAGGGAAGGAAGCGAGTCTGAGTGTTCTGGCTGACCCTTTCCTTCCTCAATAACTTCTGCAAACCCCAATTTCTCATAGTTCCTCTTTGTTCTGAAACACCACTGGGTTCTTGGCAGAGATCAAATCAAAGTTCTTGTCCCCTGCTATCCAGGGAAGAGCTGCACTTCAGTTCTAACTAAAACTAGATCTGTTAAATTCATCTTAGATGTTGAGAGCAGCAGGGGCTGAGTGGCTTTCTCCAGTTCCTGTCACGAGGGATTGTCCCAGATCTGCACATTTCACAGGACTTTTGTTTGTTTGAAAGCTTTTAGTGCGATGTTGAGGGTTAATGAGCTCAGTAAACCTTGAAGATGCCCTTTTGATAGTTAAAGTATTCATAAACATCACTGGGCCGCTTTCCTTTGCCCCTGTAAAGCTTTGTTGATGCCTGCCTTGCTGACTTGATGACTTTAAGGATTCTTTTCCTGTCTTGATTGTGGTCCAAGTGCCTTGCAGAATGTGCAGCACAGCCTGGGGACATGGCAGTGGGCAATGGTGAAGGGGTGCCAGTGAATGTGGAAATAGAGAGGGTCTGACAAAGCCCATCTGTCACCAGCCTGAGGTGTCAGAAGCACGTCCCAGCTTCCAAAACCTCCGAGATGCACAAAATAATCTCTGCTAACAACTGGGAGACGTTTGTTGAGATGTGAAACTGGAGCAGCAAGCGAGGCCAGGCTCTCACTCGCATTTTTACCTTGATTTGCAGAAGGTGGCTGTAACGAAGCTCACTAAGGAGCGCAGACTAAAAGGAAACAAAGTGTCCAGTGCGGTGGGTTCCTCTCCGAGGCTGCTGTGACCCCTTCCAGCATCGCGTGTGACTCTTTGTGCTGCTCCGCAACAGCCCAGCACCACCCCCAGCTCCTCCCTGTCCTGCCGGGGCTCTCTCCCTCTCTAGATTTAGGAAATGGAGCTGGATGCTCCCGTAGTTCCATCTGTGCTCCCTGGGGAACGAGCCCGCTGTGTGTTTGTCTCTCCTCGCAGCCCGGGGCCCTTGGCTTGGCTTGCTGTGCTCCCACAGAGCTGAAGCATTTTTGGTGCTTAGCGAAACAAAGGAATTAGTCAGGGTTGGATGGTCAGGATCGATGGTGGAGCAGGGCTGGGGGGAGGGACGGATGTGTTCCACCCAAACATCCACAGTGCCTCCTGGCACTGCTGGGGGCAGTTTGCACCATTCCTGATTTATTCCCAAGTCCTGGGTGCAGCTTGCACCGTTCCTGATTTATTCCAGAGTGCTGGGCACAGTTTGCACCATACTCCAGACAAAATGCTGGGTGCAGTTTGCACCATTCCTGATTTACTCCAAGCGAGGCCCTTCTGGAATTGGTGCTGACTGGTAAATCCCTGAGGATTTTGTGAAATTTGTCCTCTTCTGCTGTGGCCACAAAGCTGTGACTTCTGTGGCTTAATCCTTACAAAAATTTCGATTTTTAGCTGCTGTCACTTACTGTATCTGCTTCTATAAATCATTTATGGGGTCCAGAGTAGCCACTTGCTGTTTGACTCATCCAAATATTTGCAGGTCCTGACCAGCAGATCACAGAAACTCAAATATTCCCTCTGGAACTAATGGAACCTTTCCTTAGCAGCCTTTAAAATGGTGTTTTATGTCTTTGAATCCCTCATGATGATGGCAAATGCTCTTCCAGCCATTCCCATGAAACGTGGTTATCCTAAATGCTGACAAATGAGCCCTGGCCTCTTACCCCAGTCAAACGCTGAGTTATTTTTGCTGCATGAGGAATCCTTTGCTCTTTCACTGTCAAGTCAAGTAAATTGGTGTGGAATTGCTCTGGAACACTTCCAGTTAACGCTGCCATGGAGTACTTAACCGGGAGAAGAGTACTTGATGTTAGGGTGTTCAGAGACTTAAATTGGCTGTTTGTTTGTGCGTTTGTTTCTCACAGCCTCTTGCTCTGGATGCTTCAGATCTCACTTTAGGATTGCCTTGTAGGAAAATGCTTTGCATGGTGCTTCCCTCAAACCTCTGCTAGAGAAGTGCCAGCCCTGCCCTGCCTGCCTCTACTGACACCTGCAGCTCCCTGGGAATGTTCTTTATTTTCCAATTCTCCACCACTCCAGTGCAAACGTGGGGCTGGGGGCAGAGCTGAGGGGTTTAACTGGGAAGGATTGAAATCCAACATCCCAGAGGTCACTGGAGCCTGGGTGAAGGTTTGTCCCTTCAGCTCTGTGACACCGGTGTGGGCAACAGTGCCAAGGTGGATTTAACCATTCCATCAGGCTGGAAATGTGGAAGGGAGGGATTTACCCTAAAAGGTTTGCTTGTGTGGGGTGAGGAAGACGTGTCTGATGTTGCTGTTCACCCTGTGTGTGTCCCAGTCCTCCAGCAGTGACAGCGGGAGCAGCAGCAGCAGCAGCTGTAGCAGCAGCAGCATCAACAGCCCCGACAGAGCAGAGTCCAGCCTCAACCCCAGGATTGCAGGATCCAGCCCTGTCTCCTCCCAGCCCTTCCACGAGCAGTCTGCACTAAGCCAAGGTCCTTACTTCCACATCAACCAGATCCTGAAGGAAGCTCACTTCCACAGCCTACAGAGCCGGGGACGCCTCCCTACATGATGACCCAGCAGCTCCCTGCCTTCTGTGAAGGGACAGCACTGTGTAGATTTGATATTTCAACTTCAAAGTTTGTTAAAATGGAATTGCACAAAATTGCCTGTTGCCTTTTCAGTCTATATTTGAAATAACAGGTTAACAGGAGATTGTTTACTTGTGGTTTGCTGCACTATTGCAATGCAAAAGGGGCTTTGAAGCAATTTTTATAGGATTCTTTTTGGGGTGGTTCTAAAGTACGTGGCAAGAGGAGACTGAGGAGTCCACATGTGTGTTATAGGATTGCAAACTGTCCAATTCCAATCGACTGCCTAATCTGTTTGTTAGCAAGTTGTTGCTTTCTGTAAAGTTCTCTTAAGCGTTCCTCTTCAGTTTTATAAGTCTTTTTTTAATTTCAATAAACTAGTTAAAAAATTATTTGGCAACATAATTTTTTGAGCATTTAGAGTTAGCGAGAATAGGAGCAGTGAGTGCAGGTGCTCAGGCCTGTGAGCTCCCACCCAGCTCAGGGTGATGAAGCTTCTCTCGTGAGCTTCACTGCTGCAGGACTGGAAATGTGAAATGAGAGCCAGGACAGGTCGGGCAGGGGCCACTCAGAGCAGGGTGCTGGTGCCTGGAGGACACAGGGGTCTTACTCTGCTCCAGCACCCCTTTCCAGCTGTGAAATATTTTGTTTTCTTTTAGTGTGTAGGTTATTTTGGCTTCTTTTTTTTTTTTTTTTTCTTTAATTTGACTTTAACAGTGTAAGGATAGGAGGTGAAAGAGCAGCTCCACCAGGAGGGGACAAGGACAATCCAAGCCGTGCCTGGTTCCTGTGCCATGCCCTGCTCTGGCTGAGGATGGGAAGCCAATCCCAGAGGTGTCACCGCTCCTACCAAGGGGACAGAGAGATCTCAGTGAAGACAAACAGCAGAGCAGTTTTATTGTTTGCTGCCTCACTTGGTCATGCCCGAGAGCCAGCCCAGCTTGAAGAGCGACGGTGCCGCCGCGTCCTCGTCGTCGGTGATGAGCTGTCGGAACAGGGAGCCTGGCCGTGCCACCTCGTCCTCTCTGGGCAGCACAGCAGCTGCAGCCTGGCCCTTTGGGAAGACACAAGTGACTCTTGAGTGTCACTGCACCCTCGGGGCGCCTCCTGTCCCCCCTCAGCAACGCCAGGTGGGACCAGGCCACAGCCGGAGCCACACCCGGAGCGGTGTCACTGCTGGGTTAGTGACAGTCACACACGGGGACACAGCACCTCGCTGCTGGCAGCAACAGGCACTTGGCAGATGTCACTCAATGCTCGTAAAACCCCTGAACGCTCATCAGAACCCTGTGAGCAGCAGGGCAGGAGCTGCTGCTCTCAGAGCAAGGGAACACAGTGTGGCAGAAGCACGGCTGGTGCCCTTGCAGGAGCTGTTCTTGGAGAACTGCAGATTTTAACCTCTCCAGAAGAGTTTTTTAGCATTGAAGGAGGAGCAAAGCATCTGTCAGGGATCCTGGGAAGTGTGGCTAGCACAGGACACGAGTGTGCTGAGCACAGCACAGCAGCTGAGGGGAGTGACAGAACGAGCCAGACATCACTGCACACTGCTATGCTCCAGTCCAGCTGAGCTGTGAGAGGTAAGGAATACCTTTGCTGGGAATTCTGGGCTTTTAGACACCCCTTCTGCTGGGTCTGGTCCTAAATGGCTCCAAGTAATGGAGAGTTACAAATTGATCATCTCAAATAACACTGGTAAAACCAGGCCTTTACCTCTTTGTCTTGGCTCTTGTCAAGACTCAACAACTTGTCCCACGGATAGATTGGGCTGGTAATAAATAAAGGAAACATTAATTGCTGCTTCCCACAGCAGTGAGGTATTCCTTGGCTCTCACTCAGCACACAGAGCCCCATCTAAGCAGATGTTTGAAACTGGGGGAAATGGAGCAACAGAAAGATTGGCTGCTAGAGCTCAGCACCAGGGGAGCAGCAGGACACTCCTCACACAGCTGGGGTACCTGAGGCCTCCTCGGGGGTTACAGGGCAGCATCCCACTGGAAAGGAGTTCAAGGATTAGCTACTGGCCTTCAGCCCTTCCTGCAGCCCTGTTTGTGAGTTGTCTTTGCATTGCCCTCAGCCATGTAATCCCTCACTGCAGTGGTTATTACCTGCTCTGCCACAGAGCAGTGACCCCAAAACCACCACAGGGGCAAAGGGTGAGGTTTTGGGGGGGTCCTGGAGAAATCCACCCCATCCCCTGCTGTGCTGCCGTAATTTTTGTTTTACTGGAAATAAAAATCAGGTGAAATAATGTTTGGCTGCTTTCTTCTTTCCCCACAAACTCAGGTGTTGGGGCAACAGGGAATACTGGGGAAATAATCCTATTTTTACAGCTCACTTCAAACACCAACCTGGACTCTTTCTGTGCTCGTGGCAGTGACTTTGCTCTTCCGTGAGCTCGACATGCTCAGTGGCAGAAGTCCAAACCTTAAGAAATGGAAGAAAGAAATGTGGGAAGCAGCAATTCCAGAGCAGCTTCCCAGAAGCAGGAAAATGCCTGGAAGAGTTGGGTGCCTCACCTGATCTGGCTGGATGCTAAGGGCAGGATGTTGTGGAGCTCCTGTGAGCTTGGTGCACTGCCCCTGCTCGTGTACTGGTGTTCTGTCCCAGTCAGCAGGCCAAAGAGAACCTGCAAGGCACCAGGAGCTGTTTGGATTTTGGGGAAGAGAAGCTGGAAGGCACCAGGAGCTGCTTGGATTGGGGATTCCTGCAGAGCTGACCCCACAGTACGTGGTGAATCCACTGCCACACCACCAGCACTGAGTTTGAACATGAAGTGTCTCCCTTCCCCCTCTTAACTCTTGTGTTTAATTATTCCCACAGTTGACTCCCAGGCCTGTTTCAGCACTACTTAACCCAATTAGTGTTGCACAGGCTCCAGTGAATCCTGTTAGATAAAGTTCAGCCAGCCCCACACGGTGCAGCCAGCTCAGCCAGCTCCTCTTATCTTCAGCTGGCACTGAGCATTCTTCCCCTTTCCAAGGAAGTGCCAGTGCTTATCTGGAGGCATTAAAGAGTTTAAAGCCAGCCCAGCTGCCCTGCTGGAGGTGTTTGCAGCCCTGCTCCTCCCTACCGAGGTTCTCTGCACCAGGCGGTTCAGGTTGCTGTTCAGGTGTGGGGTGAACACATCCAGGTCGAAGGGATCGATGTGTCCCTCCAGGAAGTCGATGACCTTCTCAATCCTGCAGGCAGAGCAGGGCAGAGCAGAGGGCTCCTGTCAGGGGTGACACCCTGCTGCTGCCAGCTCTGAAGCAGCCAGGGATTTCCTGGCTGGGGTGACTGAGCAGAACAGCAGCTGCCCCGAGGGCTTCCAGCTTTTACACAACCCCAGCAGCAGAAACCTGCTCCCCATGTACCCCCCAAGGCTGGAGCTAACTCAAGGCTTTAACTCCTGGCTGGAAGCTTAACTGCTTTCTCCAGGGGCATCCTGAGGGTATCCTTGTGGACACAAGGAGAGGGACCAGCCCAGAGATTCCCACCCCATCTCTGTTCTGAGGATGAGCTCAGTGTTTGTGCAGTGTCACAGCTTGGAGCTTGCACTGTTTCAGTGCCCCCCAAAGCACTGCTGGAGGATGTGAAGCCCAGAATGTGCCATACCCGGAGTCCTGCTTGATCCTGCTGGGTTTTGTGTCCTCACTCTTGGCTGTCAGGATGATGCTGAGGTACCTCAGGTCGTAGAGTAGCTGCAGAGCCCTGCTCTGGGTCAGGGGGAAGCTGTCTGGCCTCTGCAAATGAGACAGGCAGGAATGGGGCTCCTCCCTGGCACAGGGGAGGCTGCCCAGGGGGGAATATTTGAGAACACCAACTCCAAGGTCCAACCAGAGTGTGAAATGTGGTGACTGCTCCCCTTCTGCCTGTTCTGGGGGAGGCAGGGTGAGTTTAAGGGTGTCCCCAGCTGTCACACACAGGCATTTTCTGTTCCAGGAGCATTCCCAGCCACGCTCCCATCCCACACCCAGGTACCTTCTCCTGCTTCTGCTCCACCAGTTTCTCATAGGCAGCGAGCACCTCTGCCATGCAGCTCCTCAGCAGCTCCTGCAGGGTGACCTTGGGCAGGGTGTGACCACCGACCCTGTTCAGCTCCTGGCACAGGCTGAACAGGAGGCACTGCACGTGCCACGAGGGCTGGGCAGGAGAAAAGAGTTTATTTGCAGTTGCTCTGTAAACTCCATTCCCTTCCACATCCCTTCAGATGGGTGGTGGGAGTTTCCAACTTCCTCAGCAGACACAAAGATCTGCCCCACAGCTTGGCTCAGGAATCTCACAGGGTCTGGTTTGCTGACACCCCAAATTTTAGGTTACAGCAGCTCCCAAAGTCCCAAAAAAACTTTACCAGACACTGCAGTGAGAAGAGAATTGCTTGTGCATCTTCTGTCAGCACAGACCCTGCTCTGCCCACCCACTCCCTGGGGCTGTTCCTCCCTCATCTCCTGGGCCTCCTGAATTCTCACCCAGCTGCTTTTTCCCTCAGATAATAGAATTCACTGGGTAAGGCTCACTGCACTTCCCTGTCCAGCTCCTCCCATGCTGTGCAAACACAGAACTCACCGCAGGCCTGGCCCCCTCCCCCCTGCCACCTGCTCCCTGTGCCACCACCACACCCCTGCAAAGCCACACACTTCAGTTCCCTCAGGATTCCACAGTCCCACTGCTGCAGCCCTGTCCTTCAACGCACCCAACTTCCATGGACTCTCTCTCCTGGGACCTCTGTGTTTAAATCAGGCCTAAGTTCTCCTCTGGCTCAGTTTTACAGGATCTGGGCCAACCTTACTCATTGAGATAAACAAGGACAATGACCTATTTCCTTCCTCTGACCTCTGTCCTCACGAGGTGAGTATCTCAGAGAGCACCAGAGAGTGTTTGTCCTCTGCTCCTGACACCAAACCACCTCCCCAGCAGCTCAGCAAGTGATTCTGGAAGGCAGTGCTGGGCTCCTCCCACAGGCTGCTCCTCATACCTGCACAGGCAGCCGGATCTTTGATGTCACACTGCTCCCAGACTCGGTTTCCTCCTGGATTTCAATCTCATCCCAGTTGGTGGCTGTGGCCAGCACAGACCCAGCTGTGTCGAGCAGCAATTTGTGGGTGAAGCTCTCAACCAGACCCTGGAACACAAAAATGAAAGCCCAGATCACAGGAGCAGTTCTAACGGGAGCAAGAGCAGCCAGGCCACCCTGCCTGTGACCTGCACATCCCAAAGTGAATTTTATGGACTCCACCCCACTGGAGCCACCCCAAGGGCAGCCAGGCCACCCTGCCTGTGACCTGCTGCATCCCTGCACCTCCCAAATGGACACCAGCCCACTGAGCCACCCCAGCGAGGGAACCCCTCCCCAAAAAACATCTCTGAGGAGGGAAACAGCTCCTTACTTTGGTGACAGCCGAGCTCCAGAGCTGATAAGCCAACAGGCTCTGCTGCAGGAGCTCTGCCTTCACCTCCTGCCACTTGGCCAGCTCGGGGGACACCTCCTGGGCTTTGCCCTTGCCCAACTTCTTGGCAGAGCGCGGTTCCTTGGGCGCCGGCTCCGCCTGGCCCAGCACACAGCGCTGCAGGTGAGGGCACAGCTCGGGCAGGGCCTGGCACAGCCTGGCCATGAAGAGCACAGCGTTGAGCTTGGCATCCCCAGGGGCGTGCAGCTGGCTCTGGGCACTCAGGAGCTGCTCCTGGACACAGCCCAGGAGGTGCTGGGTGCAGCTGACACAGCGCTCACGGAGCAGCCCCTGCACGGTGCCCGCGTCGGAGAAGCGGTCGAAGGCAGAGCGTGGTGGCTCCTTGGGGACAGAGCCATCCTTGGGGAGGTAGGACAGGACATCCTCCAGCCTGGCCTTCAGCTTGGAGTCCAGTGTGGAGCAGAAGCTCTGCACACAGGGGGTGAGTGCCTGTGCCTTCATGGCCAGCCCGCTGCGGGTGAAGGGCCCGCGCTGGCCCACGCTGACCCACGCTGCGTCCCCGGGCAGGTCCCCGGGGCTCTCTGACCACAGGAACAGGGCCACGTTGTGTTCCAGCTGGATCTGCTTGCTCAGGGCACCACTGCTGCCTTTCACTTCCAATTCCTGCAAGGCTACAGCCAGCAGCTGCTTGGAGCTGCTTGAAATGGAGTCGAAGCCTTCTTTGGTCAGAGTCTGCAACAGAATCGGGAGAAAAAAAATAATTTCAACTTAAACACAGCCTCAGTGCACTGAGGGCTGGGTGAGACAACAACTGGGGGTGCAGAGCAAAGCTCCCCAGAGCACAGCACCCACCTGCAGCCTGTCCAGGAAGAGCTGCTGCAGCAGCTCCTCCCAGAAGGACACAGGTCTGTCGAGCAGGCGCCGGCACACGGCCTCCCAGTTGTGGCTGCTGGACTCGCTGGACAGCAGCTCCCACACGGCATCACGGATCCCTGCCAGCCCCTTCATGCTCTTCACGAACACCAGCAGGGTCCTGACCCCCGTCCTGATGTCATCACTGCACCTGGAGGCAAAGTTTCACCTCTGTGAGTGAGGGGCGTGAGGCTGCTGGGTGTGCTGTGCTGCCTTTACTGCTTACATGAAGGTGAGGATGAGGAGGATGAGGGGATGAGGAGGAAGTCAGCCAGGCTGGGATTGCCCTGTCCCACTCACATGTTGATCCACTGCTGCAGGGTCTCCCTGAGGTACTCCTGGCTGATGGGGTGTGCCAGGGTCCGCAGGGCTGGCTGGAATTCCACCACGGACTCAGGCAGGTACTTGAACCAGCTGCTCAGCTTCAGATCCTCCTCCAGCACTCCTCCTCTGCCTGGAATCACAGTCAAGGATCAGCCCAGCACAGGGCACCCCCTCCTGCCTGCACACCTGGGCAGGTGCAGGGCTCACCTGCAGGATTCTGGCCCGTGGTGCTCTCCAGGGTGGAGAAGAGCAATCCACAGGGCAGGGCTGGGTCTGGGGCCATCCCCTCAGGCACGGTGTAGAAGAGAGCGTGGGCCTGGTACAGTGTGGTGGTGAGCAGCTCCATCAGGGAACACACCTGAGCTTTGATACCTGCACCTGCAGAGAGGTGACTGTGAGCCTAGGCAGCCCTACAGCACAGGTCAGTGGCACTGTCAGGCCTGTGGTCCCTTCCAGGGAGGGCAAAGCACTCAGCCTCATGCCCCACCTGTTTCCCCATTACAGCTAGGCTTGGACTAACCCCCCGAGAATTGTGAATTTTTGGATTATTTTGCAGTGTCCCTATCACCATGAGATTTATGGCAATCACCCATCCCTGCTCCGGGGGCAGGACAAGGTGAAGGGAAGGCTCGCCCCGACCTTGCCCCATGGCACTGACCGTGGTGTGGCTGGTTGAGCAGCTGCTGGATGGCCATTTTCCTGGCCAGCAGGAAATCAGCCAGGGCCTGGCGTGGGGAGCTGTCCTCCAGCAGCATGATGGCACACAGGGCTTCTGCCACCGCCTGGTCCGAGCCCGTCCGGCAGCGCAGCAGGGCCTTGCTCTCCTGCAGGATGGTGGATCTGCCACAGGGACCAGCTGGGAGTCACTGCTGGGCCCCACTCAGCTGGCCTCGTGTGACTACCAAAGTGTGGCTCTTTCCCACTTCTATCTGGGTATTACAGGAGTGCTGAGATGGTTTTTGCTCCAGGTTCATGGAATGGTTTGGGTTGGAAAGGATTTCCCTAAATCCCTGTCAGTGCTGTCCCGTTGTCTGATGGAGCCCCCAGGATGTGCTTGCTGGCCATGGGATATTCCCTCACATCCCTCCTTCCCTGCCATGCTCCCGGGGCATTCCTGGAGCACTGTGCTCCCAGATTTGACATTCCCATAGCCCAGGGATCCTGCCAGTGCCTTCCCTGAGAGATCCAGGTGCAGCTGCCTCAGGACAGGTTAAGAATTCTCCCACCTTGCTGCATCCAATTTCTGTCCTGCCTTCCCTGGGCTTCCCTCAGTCCCAGTGACGGGAACAATTTGGAGGGAGAGAATTTAGGATCAAGCAGTTCCAAATCCCTACACCAGGCTGCTGCAAGTCTCATCCAGCATACAGGATGGAGCACTGGGACATTTCCAGGGATGGGACAGCCCAAACTTCTCTGTGCCAGGGGCTCGTCCTCTCCTCATCCAGCGCTTCCCACCTCACCCCCTCCTCATCCATCCCTTTCCCTGCCCCATTCCCGGCACACCTGAGGTGGCTGGCAGCCGCCACTTGTCGCAGCAGGATGGGGAAGCGAGCGAGGATGGGGCTGGAGCGGGCTCGGGGGGTGTCGAGCTGGAGCTGCCGGCGCAGGTGAGCCCCGAGCAGGTGGAGCCGGGCCGCGGGCAGGTACCGGCCCCCCTCCACCGCCCCCCAAACCTGCTCGGGAACCTCCAGCAGCAGCTTCAGCTGCGCCGCAGCCCCGTAAAAACTCTGCTGGGCTGGTGGGCGAACCTGCAGAGGAGAAAGAGGGGATGAGGGAACGGATAAAACAGGTGTGACAATACGGGATGAGCGCAGAGAAGAAGGGATGGGGAGGAGAAGAACCAGCCAGAGAGGGAGATGGAATGGGAGACAAAGAATGGGTTCAAGGAGGAAAGAGCAGACAGGACTCAGTGACCACCCTCCCCGCTGTCCCTCACCGTGCCGGCCGGGCCGGGCCGGGCTGTGCCGCCGCCGCCGCCGCGCTGCAGGCCCCGCACGGCGCCCAGCAGGCGCTCGGCGCTCCGCCGCATCTCGGCGATGGTGTCGGCCGCCTCGATCAGGTCGCGATAGCGCTCGCCCACCATCTGCCGCAGCTCCTCTCGTTTCTGCTCGATGCTGGCGCGCAGCCGCCGCTCCACCGCCCGTAGCTCGGCCGCTGTATGGGCCTCGAACAGCGCCTCGGCCTCGGCACCGCGAGCCGCCATCGCTGCCACGACACCGACATCGGGCGCTGCCCGCACCGGCGGGGCGGCCGCCGCCATCTTGGTTACGGCAAGGGGACGGCACTTCCGGCGTCAGGGCGGGGCGGCGCCGCCATGTTTGTGTTGGGCACATCCGGGTGCCGTTGCCATGGCAGCGCCGCCATCTTTGTGCCGGGCACAGCCACACCCAGGTGCCGTTGCCACGGCAATGCCGCCATCTTTGTGCCGGGCACAGCCGCGTTGCCTTGGACACGCGGCCAGAGGGAGAAAGCGCCGCTTTGTTTATTTTATTTAATTTGTTTATTTATTTAATTGCGTTTTCTCTTTCTTTCTCGTTTCCCAGGGAAACAGGTCGCGCTCCGCGGCCTGTGGGTGCCGCTGTCACTCCACACACCTCGGGAGGTTTCGTCCTCAGGGCCCTTTGGGTTGGGGGGGGTTTGGTTGGAACAGAGCTGGGGCTTTTTTCCCATTCTCCCATTCCAAAAACACCGTTCTGAGCACGAGGACATTCCCCCAAAATCCATCCAGGATGGAGTGGAACAGGATCGAGCTTTAAGGTCCTTTCCAGCCCCGAAGGGAGAGGCAGATCCAGAGCCAGGCAGGATCCAGCTCCATGGGGATGCTGCTGGAACCAGAGCTCGTGGGTGTGTGGTTGTTGTATTCAAACCCCATAAACCCCCTTTTGTGCTGGAAATTGAGACGGGAAGAAAAAGAATCACAGGTATTTTGGAGCAGTTTGGTTTATTTGCGTGTTCAGTGTTGGTGCTGCTGGGCTGCACAGCTGCTCAGAGACAAACTTTGCATTTATAGGATTTGATAAACTCTGCTCCCAGGGACAGGACAAGAGGAAACTGCCTCAAATAGTGCTGGGGAAGGGCCAGGTTGGACATCAGGAGGAATTTCTTTGTGGAAACACAGGTCTGTCAGGCACTGGAAGTGCTCAGGGCAGTCCCCGTTGCTGGAGGGATTTAAAGCTGCGTGGTTGTGGCACTTGGGGACAAGGTCAGTGGTGGCCGAGGATCTTCGAGGGGTTTTCCAACCTGAGCAATTCTGGGATGGTGTCTAAGCCTGCCTCATTCCCTCCAGCTCCAACACATACAAACAATCAGAAACTATAGGAAAACTCTTTTATTTCCCTCCTGCGCCATCCACAGCCCCCTCCCCGTGTGGGAAGGCTCAGTCCCACCCTGGGACACTGAGGAACGACTGCTGGGGAGGAAAACGGGGCAGGGAGCAGGGACACACCCTGGGCACGTCCTGGTCACGAGGGATCCAGTGACAGAGCACAGCACAGGACACGGGGGATGGACAGAGCTGTGGGAGCTCTGCAGGGAATGGAGAGACCTCAGTCCACCTCCCTTGCCCTGCAGAAGTCACCTGGCAGAGTGACAGCAGCCCCTGTGGTCCCTCCCGGCTCGTGGGAGCCAAGGACCCCTGTGGGGCTGGGTCAGGGGACAGAAACCCCCCAGGTTTTATACATCCAGTATATAAAATTTACATGTATTTACAATCAGCCACCCCAGCCCTCCTCCAGACACTGTGTGGGGTGGGTGGAGGGATGGATGATGGATGATGGATGGATGATGTACGGATGGATGGATGGATGGATGGATGATGGATGGATCCATGGCTGGATGGATGGATGGAGTGGCCAGGCTTTGCATCCCTCGGCATCTCCTGATCGGGACACAGCTGGAGGAGGATCCTCCCAGCCTGGCTCTCCTGCCCTGGCTTTTCCCAGTCCAAGTCTTGGAGCAAGCAGGGCGTGGAGCTGAAATCTCTCAGGATATCCATGCTGGCAGGGAGGGGCAGAGGTGCCCTGGGGCTGGAAACAGCAGATCCCATTCCAGACTGGGCAGCTTTGGGATCTGCTGTGTCCTTTGCTTGTGCCTCGCTGGAGATTCCCCCTGGGAGCCACAGCAGGGAGGGGATGGAGACTCTCCCTGATTTTGGAATCGGCTCCTTCACAGCGAGCGTTTGGGGCTGGATCGGGGCCTGGGACGGAGCTGGGTGGGGACCCTGGGCAGTTCTGGGGGGAAAGGAAGGGACCTGTCACAAAGACAAAGCTCTTCTCATCGTGGCAGGGCGGGGAAAGCCTCCGGAGACACGGCAGAGCAGTTCAGGAGGAGATTATTTCAGTCCAAGGCAGCGCTGGAGCCGACACGAGGAGCTGCAGGGAGGGCTCCAGGTCCAGCCCCAGCCTCTCCTGCCCACCTGAGCAGGATTTGGCTCTGGAGCACAGGGGGACACTGGTCACCAGCCAGGCTGAGTCCGAGGGGGACACGGGGGGATGCCCAGCCCAGCTCTGCACACAAGGATGTCTCCATGCAGGTCCATGCCATGGCACTGGGGAGCTGTGGAGACACCCCTCAGCCTCACTGGGGTGAGGAGGAAAAGGGGAATTGGTTCCCACAGGCTTTGGGAAGGCTGGAAGGTTCGTACAGGAGTGACCCAGCCCCCAGGGGCCAGGTCCCTGCTCCAGGCATCCCGGGGAGCTTGTGGCACACCTCAATCCGTGCTTCCCATCACCTTGGATTTGGGAAAACGCCCTTCGTGCCTCTGCAGGCAGGAGCTGTCTCTAATCCCTGCTGCCCAGTCTGCGTGTGAAGCACCTGCAGGCTCATTCTCTCGGCTCTGCAACCACCAGCAGAGATTTCTCATCCCGCTGCCAGCAGCCCTGCGAGGCTTTGCAGAGCAGATCCAATCTGAGGTCAAGTTCCCTCTAAAATCAAGTGGCTGGGAAGGAAAACTTCGTTACTGGCAGCAGCAGCAGCGGTGCTGATGTTTATTAGTCAGCAATGAACAGCAGAAGGTTTTATTTTGCTGGTTTTACAGCCGCTGTTGGGCTGTGGCTGCAGCTCCCTCCCAGCACTCCCAGGCAGCACATTTTGCTTTCCTGCCCTTTTTCCTCGGTGAGCTGTGGAAAGGTGGCCAAGGAGAGCCCTGGAAGCCCCCAGGAGCCGCCTCGTGCCCCTGCCCTGTTCCATCCTGGCTTTGGTGGCCTTTGGGATGTTGGTGGCAGCGCCCCACGCCCCTCATTCCTCACCTGCAGCCCCCTTGTCCCCATCCCAGCAGAGCCCCTGGGTGCAAAGGGGGGACACGGTTCAGATCACGTTTCAGATCACCCAGAAGTGTCACTGCCTGGGGGTTTGCCAGGACAAAGCTGACCCAGGGCTAGGAATTCCCAGGATTTCTGTATTTCCATATCAAACCAGCGCAGAGGGAGCGTGTTCCCAGCAGGAGGCTCCTGCTGGGGACTCCTGTGGAAATGCACTTGGGAACAAGTGTCCCTCTCCTCCTCCACCGGGATTTTGGTGGCAGGACTTGCACACACGGCTGGGATGGAGTCGGACACGGCAAATCCGGGCTTGGCCTGGCTGCAGGTGAGCACTGGGGGCTCCACACATCCCCCTCCCCATTGCACACCCGCTTTCCACGCAGACACCTCCCCCACGGAGTGCCCACGGCTGCACTGACGCATCACTGCGGCTGTGACACCGAGCCTGAGACAGCTCCCGAGTGTGACACCGAGCCTGACACAGCTCC